AAAATAGTAAAAACAAAATCACGTAGAATACCTCCTGTAAATCAGCGCCACCTATTCTTCCATCGAAAATCCGATCACATTTTTTAACACGGAGACGTTTCTCCTTCTCTACACTCCATAGTTGAGAGGTATGAAACTTCTCGTATGGTCTAAATGCTACTATCCGACCGACATCATAGATGTCTCTGTAGCGGATAGCGACTTGCGAAGCAAATACCAAGAGCGGCGACCTCTAGCCCAAGTGGACTAAACTACTATTATTAAATATGATTTAAAGGAAACAACTACTCAGCGAGCAAATACCCGTGTTTCCTTCAAATCATATTTAATAACAGTAGTTTAGTCCACCTGGGCTAGAGGTCTCCACTCTCGGTACTTGCTTTGCAAGTCGCTATCCGCCACAGAGACATCTATGATGTCGGTCGGATAGTAGCATTTAGACCATACGAGAAGTTTCATACCTCTCACCACTACTCGACATATTCGAAATAAAATACAGAAATCGTACAGCTATCGATTTACACTGATATGTGAGCTGGGTGCTCAGTTTATTCATATCTTCTACTTGTTCCCTATCTGACACACCCCCATGGCAGCGCGATTAGGTAGCTCTAATTCTAACTTATTCTCGTTATTTCTAATTACCAGTGCATCTAAAAATGTATATTGTCCTTTGTTTTTAATTTCATATGTGACTTTTATTGATCTGAAACCACCGTTTACCTTGGATACAAAATGTTTACATCCACAACTTTTATATCACACATTGCAAAAATATCATTCATCATTAGCCAAATCCCAGGAAAATACTCGAATCCTTCTTTTGTCGTCACATCAAAGGTTCAAACCGACATTATGACTATATTGTTCGAATTTGTATTTCATTACGGTCAAAGCTATATTTCACAAATTCGTTGTACACCTAAGGAAAGTTATGTGTTTAATGTGGTTTATCTTCTCCATCAAGAATATTGTTAACAATTTCATTAAATGAAAAATTAAGTTTCTCGTGTCACAAAATAAGCATAAAAATCATTTCTTATGTAAAATTCAATGTAGACGATTTGGAATAATTTTATGTAGTAAAGATTAATATAATGAAATGGATAATTACAGGATGTGTCGTTTCTGGCGTAAGTAAACATATAATGATTACAACTGTTTCTCGGCCGGTTTTCTTTTCTTTAATAACTTTCTTAATTTGTAGTTAAAGAAAATAGGACTCTGAAGGTTTGTTAATTGTAGTTTCTATATTATGGTACACCTAGGAATCCAAAATATAAAACTTTTCCATCTTGAGTAGTTAAATAAATATTTCCTCAATTATTTAATAGAGATAACTATTGACTTTTCTCGTTAGGACGAGAGTCGATTGTTTGTAAGAGCCATTCTACGGAACTAGAGATAACATCTTATTTAATGTTTGTATAATCATTGTGGTACATTGCTCCTTATCTATAGAAACAAGAACCATAGAATAAATACATTTTAGCACAAAACCTTCTCATTTGCAGTGCTTGTTGAACATTATCCTGAAACCTATACCATGTATTGTGTAACAGAATTAGATAGGTCGATAACTGGCAATGTTTGAATTTTTTCCTTTAACAAGGGGTGTGTCTAAATTATGTAATAGAGTTTGCTACCCCTTTTGGATAAAACATTTTTGTTTATAATTTTTGTGAGAATTACCTACCGTGGTGCATTTGTTTTGTGGTAAATCATTTAATACCAGTGCATATATTTACCAATCAGACCTCTGCAGCGTAAGGTTTTTCTAAATTTAATCGAGTACTTACTTGAACGATTACTTAGTATTATCTACAAACGCTGCTCTGGTAGAGTCTTGCCTAGTTCTCTGCTAAATATACCTGTCTAGTTATCTGGCAATTGATTAACTTTTAATTATTTGCAGTAAACATATAGTCAAGCTATATACTTTGATGTAACATTATCTGGAATACATCATTATCTCTTTACGAGGAACTAATAATTTAACTTAACGTTACCTTTAATTTGACATTTATATTGTTTTATATCTAGCAAATATTTATATACGTTATCTTTCTATTTGTCTGTCTGTGTATAGACATTCTGAATTCTATTTTCGTGAATATTACCGTCTTTTGGTAAAAAATATCTTAAAATATAGTGAATTTCTATTTCACATTGTTTATTATCATAGCTATACCTAGTTTATTCGTTGGACTAGTATTTCTTCTATTTAACGTCACTTTTATTGATATTTAAGTTAGTTGAAATCTTCAACTTCCTAAGGACCTAAGGTATTATGGGATACAAATCCTAGTTTGTTTAGTTTGCAATGTACTCTGTAAAGTGTTAACTCTAATATTTTGTCTACGTAGCTGGAAAATTGAAACGTCACAGCTTTTTACATTGTTATGCTATAGTACTGATCTCATGAAACTCTCCCATTTTTATGTAAATACATGGAGCAAGAGAAGAGGATATAACTGGTTGATCGAACTGAATATGGTATACTGGATGGAGCAAAAAAGAACGATATTTTATTCAATTGGCATTTCGTCTCAAGGCTAACTGCAGTACTGAGAGTGGTGATTCAAACTTACACCAAACCCATTCGAGCTTAGCCGTTGGTGGATTCTTCGCTGGACTGGTCCATTTGAAGTTACGTTTACGAGGTAAAATTTTATGTTTGGTCAGAAGAATTTTTTTTTTAACTAACGTCATATAATTTTCTTTTTGTTTATTTTGTTAGTTTTCAACCTGAACTATACTTTTTAACTAAAAAGGGGCCATCAGAGTCAATTAAATCTTGTAAATATTCGTATCAGTTTATTATACTTTTTATTTAATAACACCTTTTTATTCTACTTTCTTCCCAAACTGAATTCAAGAATTAACGTTATCTTTACCTATTTAGTGAACTTTTCATTATTTGGTACTTACAATAGTCTTGGCGCCGGCCGCGCCAGATTGCGTGCCAAAAGTACGTATGTTTTCCGAAGGATGAAAGCTTGTGTAAAAAATGGATTTCAGCTATTCCGAGAAAATAATTTACACCGTCAAAGTGAATCAAAATGCATGAGCTTCATTTTATCAAAGCAAATAGTTACAAAAAATCTCTGAACAAGATTGCCGAACAGGTCAGATTAGAACTTATAAGTAGGGCTGTCAAAAATGTTCCGTGGGACCGTGGCGTATGCGAAATTAACTAATACGAGAAACAATAAACTGTTACAATTTATAATAATGTATGTAAAACTTACCCTCTTAACTAGCTTGACGAACTAGCTTGCTTATCACAAACTGGAGAAGATGTGTAGCCATTTTGCAGCATCAGATATGGTTGTCTCCATGAGTGATGTTCGCTTTGGTGAAAATATATTCTTATATTTTGAAAACGACCGTTCGACATCTACTGATATAATACACACATACGTAAAATAGTCTTTGAACGAACTTAACGGATCTGGGGCTGCACCATCACATATTTGTCTTAATTTGGTAAAACCGGTGTCTTTATTATATTATTTATAACACACTTGCGAACTTTTCTTTAACGCGCTCATTTGTTGCGTCATCTATATCGTGTAGCAGTAGATTTACTTCGTCCACTATTTGCAGTGACTCCGCTAACGACAACACACTGTTTTCTAATTTTTCTATGCTTTCATGTAATGGTTTATAGTTCTTCGCAGTATTTTTTTAAAGCTGTTTCAACGGAGATATCTTCGAATATTGTCTGGCTTTCCTTAATAGCTGCAGTCTCATCTGAATTGAATTGTAGTATCACAGTTTTTATTTGTTGGAAATATTCAGCACAATAAAAAGCTGCCTGTAACTATGTTCCCCTACGTGTAAGAATCGGCTGTGGTGGTTCAGGAATACCGGGACACTGGCTATGAAATGCACGGAGACGTTTAGGAGATTTAAGAAACACTTTTTTTGTACTTGCTATTAATGCATCCACCTCTGGAAAACCTTTTCGAACAGTTTCTGCCACAAGATGTAAAGCATGCACTTTACACGTAACATATATAAACGTACAACCTTGTTCTTGTAAAGAACGGCCTACCGAACGCATTGTTACTGCGTCATCAGTCACAAACATCAACACTTGACTTTTTGACAGTTCAAATTTTTTCTAACGTCTCCAGCACCACCCTGGTAATTGTTTCGCTAGTACACTGACTTAGTCTTTTGCTAGCTAGTAACAGTGGAACTGTCGGTTTAAGAGGGTCTAGTACTCGTACTATAACATTCAAAATAGATTTTTTTTACAATCTGTTGTCTCATCAACAGATAACCACAGCCGTGTATTTTTTTAATTCTCATTTCATCTTATTTACCATGTCTACGTGTACAGTTGGTAGATAGTTACATAACGTTGTGCGGCTTGGTAACTTCACCTGGGCATTGTATTTATTCCAGAACTCTCGAAATTGTTGTTTATCGAGTATGTGCTGCGGAACATCACAGGCAATCAGCATTAATAGTAAATCAAACATAAACTGTGTTGTCGAAGGCACGCCATTTTTTTTATTTTTATTGTGTACACTATTTACGCGTCATAGAATAAATACGGCAATTCACCTATGAATTTATTCACTTTGTCAGCAAACTCAATTCAATTCAATTCAGTTCCTTAATAGACTGGACTGGAGAAAGAGTTTCGCGGTCAAGGTGAATGCCAGTGACAGTAAGTACATCTGTACTCTACGATCATGATACACAGAAATGATTTGTAGCTTTACTTATAAGTGTAAAATTAATGTGCCCTCGCTTGTAGTCAGAAACAATATCTACTAAGTTTTCGAGTTGTCCAGGATATTTTTCAAAACCTTTTTTTTATAACGCTAAAGTATGGATGCTAAATTAAACAAGCTGAATTTGTTTAAACCCTTCAGGAACGTAAAAAAAATGTGTCTCTAAAATTCTATCAGCTATATACGTTGAAAATTTCGGAAGGTTGGTATAATATTCGCTACAAGGATAAAACTACAAGATTTAAATTTGTCGGTTCAGTGGCTCAGTACTTACACGTTAGGCTTGAGATCAAGGGGTCCCGGGTTCGATTCCTGGCTTGGACAGGGATACACAGGTCGCTAGAGCGTCGTTGTGTGACAGAACACGTCTAGCCACTGTCTAGCTACCGAGCATATATTTTTCAGCTTGAAATAAGTCAATATCATACTGTTTTTATAAAACATAACCTCATAAAGAAGAAACAGTTCCAGGAAACATTCTGTACATATTTTTTTTAGTGCGCAATTTCTAACAAGGTATCATGTAGTGAATATTCTCCGGACATCCAATGGGTATAATAAAATTTGTATAGATTCTAAATTACTGACTACTAATTCCACTTTCATCTCTGGTGGCTGAACTCTTATAACTGATGTTATGCACGTAAGGAGGTGTGGAAGCACATACTACCCTCTTAGTTCGTTCATTCGAAGCCATTAACGATAATTTAGTTAATATTCCACCAGTTTAGTTGATTAAAATCTATCTAGCGCAATTTAACTTAACCCATTCTCACCCAAACAGAATTAAACTTTGAACCGGTCACTTGTGCTAACGGGCCGAATGTAAAGCACCACTAATAATTCAAATTGTCCTTACATAATTTTTACATGTTATCCTGTCTGCTGGCAAACAATATGTAATGAATGGTGTCTGTATTTATAGTGGTGAATTGAGAGCCTACAAATTACGTAGGCTAGGCAGTATCTACAGCGGGAAGTATTCTAGGGCTTCGGGAGCCTGACTGACCACAGTTCGGGATAAATGAGTGCGGCAACCTCTCGCAGCACTAACTAAACACCCGTAACCGTGTTAGCAACGAATGGAATTGATCCGGTGGCAAACTTAATGAATAGAACCCCGTATCTGATGCCGATTCCGATTTTGACCCTACTCCGGAACCCGCGGGATAAATGTCTGATGCGATCTATACGGCTTGGGCTCGGTAACCCTCTGCTATCGGATATGTTATGACATTAACATGTACACAATGCCTATACTAAATAATATTAACCTGTGAATAATAGATGTGTGGCATAAAATATAATTTTGTATAATTTATTGAACAATGTGTGGAGCTTGCTCAACTTTTATCTCCATTTAATTTATCTATTTTGGGGTATCCGCAAAATTATTTATTATTCAACTGGTCGATAACATTGTATTGTAATGCGTATAATTTTTAAACATTGTAATTTATAAATAATCACAATGAAAAAAATATCTTATGTGGCCAGCACACGACTTTCTTATACCAGTATATATCATCCTGATGTAAAAAAATCATTCTATTTAATGCTTAACTTACCTCAATTAAATTTTAATAGCGTATATCGAAATGTTTCATGAAAATTTTTAAATAATTAATTAACAGCGACATTCGATACTGTTTATGAGGTCAAATGAATAAAAAATTTAAGTTTACATCAACTTTATTTAAGTAATTGGAAAATATGTTTTATTGGCTTGATATAGTAGACATGATTTATAATCTTTCATCAAGAATATACAATTACAAAAAAAGTTTGGGTACTGTGGACCTCCTTTCAGCTGGCCAATTTTGCTTATTATTGAATTTATCAGTGTCTTTGGCCTTTAAAACATGTGTACAAAATTTGAAAGCTTTATCTCAAAAACTGTGGCTGCTATCGCGATACTACAGACATGCAGACAGATTTTTTTCATAAAGTTATGTTTTTTCATCATATTTCGTCGAGATGCGTCCAGAAATGCAATAAATTTTTTTTATTTCTTTCCCCGAACTTGTACCTTTTTTTCTTCTTTTATTCATTTTGTCTCTTCTGGTAGTACCATTAGTATTTATATTTATAAAGCTTTAAAATTTGGTACACATGTTCTAAATGCCAAAAACAATGAAAAATTCGGTGATGAACAAAATTGACCAGCTGAAAGAAGGTCTACGGGGCCCAAACTTTCTTGTACTTGCCTTTTCAAGAAAAGATATTCTTGATGAAAAATTATAAATCAACTCTACTGTATCAAGCCAATAAAATATACTTTCCAAGTACTTAAATGAAGCTGATGTAAACTAAAATTTGTTAAACATTTGACCTCACAAAATGAGGTTAGGATAAATTTAACAGTTTGACATATGAAATGTCTAATTTGGTTACAAACATGTCAATGTCAATAAGAAGAAATTATTAAAATATATGACATGAATTATTATTGACACTATCGAATGACGTTGATAAATAATTTAAAAATTTTAATGAAACACTTCAAGGTACGTTATTAAAATTTAATTGAGGTAAGTGAAGAATTAATTAGAAAGATCTTTTTTAAATCAGGATCATATATACTTGTATCAGAAAGTTATGTGCAGGCCACATCAGATATTTTGTGCATTATTTATTAATTTCAGTATCTTCTTGTCCTTTATTTCTGTGATAAATTAGTTATAAATAAATATACAAATAATTGAATTACTATTATTTGTTAAATATTTATATACATGTATAATACATTAAATCCTATGATGGTGAAAACATGTGAAAATATGTAAACATTACGTACAGCAAATATCCGTTATAATTTATAAATAAGCAGATTTCAGTAATGCTAACAGTAACAGGTGAACGTGGTTATAATAAAATAGTATTAATATATTTGAATATGCATATTTCATTTATAAAAAAACATTTGCAAAACAAAATAAGGTAAAAATGTTACATTTGATATTAAATATGATTTGAACGAAACAACTACTCAGCGGGCACATACCCCGACCTGTATTGGATTATACCTTCAAATCATGATAGATTGGTAGCCAATATCATACATTATCATTACATTTGATGACAAAATTGAAATTATATTTAGATTCGTCTACAATTTCGGAAATGGTGACAGGGTCAATCTTTAAATAATTTTTTTAGTCATCGGCATATAGAACATAAACGTCATTCATAATACGTTAATAAAATTAATAAAACGGAGAGGTCCAAGAATTGAGCCCTGTGACGCACTAGGTGTTGTGAAATCTTCAGTTATAAATCCAGGGTACTCCACATATTGCCGTCTATATTAAAGGTATGAAGCAATATGGATAATTCACAGCCAATTTACCTGAAAAACCCGCTTGTCTTAAATGTAAGATTTTACTAAAATCTGTGAATTTAAAGATAATAATAAAATATAGCTTGTCATAAATATTGTATCACCTTTCTTAAAAGAGAATTGGAAAATTTTCCATATATTAGCAAATTTACCGAAATTTACCAATGATTAAAATTTTTTTCAATAAGGTCTGACCAGTATCAGAGCACAGTTACATAATTTTTATAAAGTTTGTTTTTTGATCAAATAAAAAACAGACTTTATCTGATATATTTTAAAGTGTTCTGTAGAATAATGGAGATAAAAATATATAATTCTCATTAGTATTGAGACATAAGACTGCAAAAAGTGATTTAACTTGATTCGCTTTACTAAATCCATTTTTAAAATCTATGGTTGATATTCAATTATAGCTTGATTATTTCGTTAGAAATTTTATAATACTTAATCTGACTAGATTAAACATTTTTAATATATAGGATTCCCTTTTAGATATTCTTAGATTCTAAGGCGTTATACATCTAATGGAGAAATGTTATTTTAAATTTCTCTGTGTGGCATGAAAATTAATTTAACGTATTATGTTTATGTAGAGCACAGCTCAACAACTTTAACTGCAACACCGAAATCATAGACAACAGAAGCTTGTTTTAATAAACGTAGATCTAACACTTAAATAATAGAGCCGGTGTTGCTCTTCATACTATTTTTACGTTTGGTTATCTCTAAACTTTCAAATGTATCCATCTGTCAATTATTTGTTATATTTCTAATTAATCTTAAATTGTTAACATCTATCTTATGGTTGTTTTGAAATACATGTTGGGTAATGCTAGAAATATCTCTTCTGTATTTGAGATTAGCCGTATGTTGTCTAAACCTAGTCTGAATAGATGTTCGCTTCTGCCCAATATAATTTCAATTACAGTCTACAACTAATTTCGTAAATCCACAGCTATTCGTTTATTCCAATTTTGTTTTTTAATTTGCCTATAAGTTGTAATTTGTGCCGATATATGAACCACAGTCATACTAATGTGTCTGAAAATCTTATCGAGACTACAGATTATCCATGGTTTACCCGCGGTCTCATGATTCCCATGACGTTTATGTTCAGTTTTCTTAAAACTTATGTTACTATGTAAGAGCAAGAATATTAGAAAATTCTTTGTATGACAATTATTTATTGAAGAAATCTGACAGGCCAATAATAATTATTATACATTGAGATTGGGAAACAAATTTTGTAGCCGATATTTTTGAGCGGTAAATATTTACATAAGAAGTAATTATCTATGTATATTTAAACTATGCCACAGCATACCAGTAAGCGCTTATTTTGGTCAGCGAACTGTTTCTAGAGCTCCAATACGACGGCCCGCCCGCTCTCTGTACTTAACGTCATTGAATTTTTTCCTATGCACTAAATCAAAGATGTGTAAAACAAATACCATAGTCCGTTATCGATTTAAAGCAAGGAATTAGAAAAACATGTGCCAACATCAACGTTAAAAAGTTCGCAAAAGTTTGCAGCTCAAAAAGTAGTATTTTAGTTCTCGTAGAAGCATCATAAAATTGTCTGCTCTATGATATAATATACAAAATTAATCCAACGGTACGTGTGACAAAATTACGAAGTATTCATTTTGGTGGATTATTCTATCACTTCGTTCACTTGAAATTCTATAGGAAAAATTATCCTATTTTTTTTAGAACTTTTTTGATATTACATCATAAATTGTAGATTGTATTGATAAAAATGATACATAATTTTTTTGCACAAGCCCATCGTTTTCTCTGTGTTATTAAATTTCGGAGAGTCGAGGGACCAATTGAATAATCTAGACCCTTAGATAAAGCAAGTTTGTCCGTGTGGATAATTCACAGCCAGAAAGATTTACGGCAGTTCACTTGATTAACGAAATTTTCAGATTTTCCAATAACATATTATTTGTTTTCTTTCTTCAGCCTTTTGGCCTGGGGA